CCCCCGACGTGCGGGGCCGAGGTGTATGCAGCTGTGGCCCTCGGCCCTCGGGACGTCGTGGTTTCACTTTTAATTTCCAGGGATGCGCGCTGAGACCTCGACACAGAGAGAGCCAGGGGGGGAGAGCGAGGGGAGGTAGCTCAGGTGGGTCAGCGTGGGGGGCCGCCGCCCTGGAGGGTGGTCCACAGGCAACGGACTCGGAGGCCCTTCCTGGGGTGAAGGTGGGCTGGGCTCCATGTACGCTCAGAGCCCGCGCGTTACGACGCATCTGCTGATCACTCCACGTGGGCGCCCGTGACCCCAAAGCGAAGCCAGTCCGAGCCGGTCCGTGGGAGGCTGCGCAGAGCGAAGGAGGCCCCTCACCACGTCCGAGGGCCCACCCTGGACGTCGGCTGCTTGTCACCACGCCGCTGCTCGCCTCCCCGAGGCCGGTAGACGGCGTTGAACGCCAAGTGCAGGCTGGAGAATGGACTGAGGAGCAGTCGCCCCTCCTGTAGTGGGTTGAACGGTGTCCCCCAGAATGTGAGTAGAGTCCTTGCAGATGTCATTAAGGTTGGGATTGAGATGACGTCCTGTTGGATCGGGTGGTCCCTCGATTCAAAGAGAGCGTCCTTATAGGACTGGGACACGCAGGGAGGGTGGTCATGGGGAGACCGAGGCAGAGGTGGGGGGGATGCGTCTAAAGCCAGGGGTTGCTGGCTGCCACCCGGAGCCGCGGGGGCCAGGGCCGGGCCCTCCCTCGGAGCCACTGGAAGGAACCCAACCTGCTCACCTGCAGTTTGTGCTTCTGGCTCCAGAACCGGGTGAATTCCTGTTGCTTTAAGCCTCCAAGCAATCTGTTAGGGCAGCCTCAGGAAACCAACACAGAGGCCTCTGGGACCCACACAGCCCCGGGGGGTAAATATTCAGGTAACCAGGGAGTCAAGATTTCTAGTCTTTGGGGGTTGGGGAGGGGTGTGTGTGTGAATCTAAGGAGGGACCCACGGACAGGGGAACTGTCTGCAGGTGGAGCAGCCCAGGGTGGCCTCCTGGCTGCGGAGCTGCCTTCCTTCAGCCTCTGCCCCTCCCGCCCGGTCCATCAGCCCTCCCGAATCGATATGGGGCTCAAGGTTCTAAAGAGAGGCAGGAATTCAACCTCAAAGGAACCGCACACCAAAGCGATGGGTTTCTCCACAGGAGGCGAAGTCACCGAGAGGAGGGCTCTGGTGACATTTAAGGGAAAAAGAGTTGGCAGAGCCTCCTTGCAAAAGTTCAGGCTCAGGAGACGAGACCTGGGGCTCAGGCAGGACACCCCTGGGTTGTTTCCGACCAAGACCGGGCAGGAGGCCTGGCGGGAAGGGCTGAAGTCTCCATGGCTGGCCGTGCAAAGGCCCTGGGCTGCGGGCTCAGCCTGTGCCTCCCACTTCTCTCCCTCCTGGGCCACCGCCTCCTGGCTGTGCTCCTTGCTTCCACACTGGCCTCTCATCCAAGGTCCGTGGCAGCCGGTGCAGCTGCTGGGAAACACAGCTCTGCTCCCAAGGCTTCCCTGTGTCCGCCCTCCCGTGGGTAGGACGAAGGCAGGAACCCTGTTTGGGACTGGGGGCTGTAAACTCTCTCCCCTGTCATCCATCTATCTCCTCCCCCCCCTTGACCCTGGCAGGAGAGTGGGCAGGACACCAGGCCTGGGCCCGGATCCTGTTCGGCTGTGTCCCACTGCTGCGGCTCCCTGGGTGCCTCGGGCCCCTCCGTGAGGGCGGAGGGTGGCCAGAGCCCTGCGAGGGCAGCCGGGGCCTCTCTGCGGGAGCTTAGAACCAGTGGGAGCCGGGGATCGAGGCCCAGAGCCCCGGCCGCCAGAGGAAGACTACTNCGAGGCCCAGAGCCCCGGCCGCCAGAGGAAGACCATGCTCATTAAAAGAAAAATTTAAAAAAAGCCTTAAAAAGACAACGGCTGAATTAAAAGGACTTTTTACTTCTGGCGGCAGCGCTTAGAAGACTGTGGATTCCACGTCCCCTTCCTGTGCCAGTGAGGGTCACATGCTGGGCCCTCGCCAATGGGATGAGGGCAGGAGGGGCGCGGCCGCCTTCAGGCCCGGCCTTGGCCACCCTTCGCAACTTCAGAGGCCAGGTATGAAGATGACATTGTCCCGAGACAGAAGAAGCGCCCGGAGCTCCAAGTCACCGCTTGGAGGCGCCACCAAGGAGCCGCCAGGTCCGCCAGTCCGTCCACTCGGCCGGGGAACCTGCTGACCAGCGGGCCCCCCTCTCCAATGGGCATTGGCAACAGGGCCGCCTTTG